GGCCGTGTCCCAGTGGGGACTTTTCATCTGAGTCTGGTGATCTGGATTAGCAACTAAAGGCAAGGAATTTATTTTTACTCCTTTGGATTCTTGGTTTTTTTTTAGTACAGGGTCTACAGGGTCTCACTACATAGATCGGACTCCTAGTGATTCTCCTGTTTTCAGCCTCCCAAGTGCTGGGATTACAGGCCCGCACCACCACGTCCAGTCTCAATTGCCATCTCGGCACGCCCTGGTGGCGGGGCCGGCACAGCACACTGGGGATCGAACCCTGGTCCCTGCATCTGCCTGAACATGGCGTTTTAGTCTGCTGAGCTATCTGGCCGGCCTTCCTTTGGATTCTTATATTTAGGTTGGTCGTTTACTAGTATTATGCATAGACTATGGTGTTTTTTTAATGTGTTCTTGTGAATTTAGTATTGCATTACAGGAAAGGAAAAAATTTTGTCCTGTGTGCTGCAGTAATCCATCCACTGACAAACATGTCAGTAAAACAGATCCATATTCTATTTCAAAATGGAAACAAAACTTTTGTAAATAAGGAGGGGAAGAGGGGTTGAAAGGAGAGTAGAGGAATGGGAAAAAAAGAATCAAGATATGTACAGGTACACTATGATGAATATGCTCAATGTGTGTACCTAAAATGTACCAATAAACTTAATTTTTCAAGAAAGGTTCTGTTAATATGGTATGGATGCACAAGAGTACCAGTAGAGACTCTGCGGCCTTCGGTGTGGCACAGGCGCTCCCTTTATGGGTACGGGCCTCTGTTGTGCAACTAGTTTTACTTATTTCTGTACCTCTTCCTTCTCACGTGCTGCCTTAAAGCTGTTTATGGGAGGGACAGGATGAGGGGAAAGGCCTCTCTGGGGACAGCCCTCTATCTCTGATCAGATTTTGGGCAGTGGTCATTCTTACGTCACCGGAAGAGACACTGGATCCCTGCCTTTTGCTTTCTCATCTGAACCCTTTCGTGAGTCAGTGCCTGAGCTTGTGAAACCACCCTCATTTCCTTCTCTGTGGAGGAGGTGCTTTGAAATAGTAGGCACCTGCCCCTCGCGACTTAAGCCCAGTCCCCTTCATGAACCTTGCCGTGGGGGGCAGGACTGCAGTAGGTATCGTAAAATGCACATCTGGCTGATTGTGACAGCCACAAGTTGGTTTTTGGTCTTTTTAAAAATTTTCCTGGGTTTTTTTTGGTTGAATTGCTTTTTTAGGGGAGGTTTATTTTTTGTTTTTGGT